TGCTGCGGGGGTGCTGTAAGGGAATTGGTGCGGGGGTAGGGGGTTTGGACTAGGTGGCCTGTGATTCCTTCGATTCTGATTCCGTGGGAGTGGAGAGTGGGTCCTGCTTTTATGCCCTGAGGCCGTATGAACATTCTAGCCGCCAGCCAGCCCCACCCCTTGCTGCAAAGCCCTCATCCTCAGGAACGTGACGTTGAGATGTGCAATCCTTTCCAGATGACCGATGCCTTCACTGGCATCAGCCCATGGGCTCTTCTCAGCGGCCGCGCGGGATGGTTGGTGTTGTCTCCGCATCACAGGCCAGGAGAGGGGACACGGCTGAAGCAGGGTCCGGCCTGGAAGGCAGCCCTCGGTGCTGCTTCTACTTTGCACCACGGATGCCTCCTCTTAGCGAGGCTTGGTTTTCAGGAGGCTGAGCGTTGGCAGGAAACACTGCATGAAAAACAGAGAGTAGCATAGCTTTCTGGTCTAGGTCCCTAAGGAAAGCTATGCCGAGGCCCGTCCTGGCCCACTTCCTGTGATGGTACCTCCGTGGTGGGTCCTTGGTGGGGAGGGCGGGGCAGCCACACACAAGGGACGCACGGCTTGGCCTCCCCAACACACTTGGACATGGAAGCTCGCGGTGCTGCCAGTACTGAGTGTGGGCGCCCTCCCGCTCCACCTCGTGGTTACCTGTTGGCAGTTCCTCTTCTCTGCTCCTGCCCTGTCCTCCCAGGGCCAAGCAGGTGATTGGTTATAGGTTGCGGGACACTGGGGCGATCTAGCCGGCCTGGGGGAGACGGGTGGGTGGAAGGAAGAGGAGAAATCAGCGTTAACTCACGTCTGCAGCAGCTTCTCCCACGTGCGCGCTGCCCCGTGCGGGTGTCGCTCTGATCTGTGGAGTAGGAGAGCCCAGCATTCCTCACAGGGGGCCAGTGGTTCTCAACCTTCCTGATGCCGCGACCCTTTAATACTGTTCCTCATGTTGTGGTGACCCCCAATTTCATTGTTATAAATTGAACATAATTAAGCATAGTGATTAATCACAAAAACAATCTGTAATTATATATGTGTTTTCCGATGGTCTTAGGTGAACCCTGTGAAAGGGTCATTCGACCCCCAAAGGGGTCGCGACCCACAGGTTGAGAACCGCTGCACAGGGCCATGAGGCCCGGGGACACTGCCCTCGGACCCGGGGAACCTGAAGCCATACCGTGCTTTTCCTCCCCTTAGCTCTGAGGCCGTTGGTAAATGTCTAGACCATTTTGAGGTCCCCAGTTTCCTCTTCCGTAAACTGGGGAAAATAGGAAAGTTCCATGTGGCCGAAACAAATCCCAGTTATAACTTACTCCTTTCTCAGCTACTGGCTGGATGGGTTATGGCTAATGCCACAGCCCGGGCGGGGCACGACCATAGGACTTGGTTTCCTCTGGAATCCTGGAGACAAAGGTGTGGTTACCCCTGGGCGCTGTGGTTTACCTGCTTCAGAAGAGGACCTGCTCATTCAACAAAGATGCTTTGCATTAATCTTGCCCCCCCCCCTTTTTTTCAGTATCCAGCGAGCAGCACTGGTGGTTCTGGAAAATTACTATAAGGATTTCACCATCTATAACCCCAACCTCCTAACAGCCTCCAAATTCCGAGCAGCCAAGCACATGGCGGGGCTGAAAGTCTACAACGTGGATGGTACGTGCCTGGAACGGTGGCTCTGGGGGTGTCGGAGGGCAGTTGGGGCAACTTCCTGGTCCATCTGGTTCAACCTCCTCTCGGTGTTTGCCTTTGTGGTCCATTCTCATTTCAGAACAACTTCTCTCTCTCTCTCTCTCTCTCTCTCTCTCTCTCTCTCTCTCTCTCTCTCTCTCTCTCTCCCTCTCCCTCTCCCCCCAAACATTTTCTGAGGAATGTTGCTTTATGGTCTACATCTGTGGGAAGTTCATTCATTTTGGGATTTTTATGATTGAAAACAATGGTGATGTGTGTGTTTCCTGTCTCCTGCTGGGAACATCTTCCATTAAATAAAGCTATTAGGAAAGGGCTGCTTTTCAAAATGTGGATAAAGCACCCAAAGCAAAGACTCAGCCACCCAAACCCGTGAAGACTCTATAACTGTCAGTAGTTCAGGCCTCTGGCGAGACACTTACAGGCATTCCTCAGCCCTGGCCAGAAGCCGGAGCGAGCGGGTGGCGGAGGCCAGAGGCCAGGCTGGGACGCCAGAGCGAGCTCCTCCGGGCTATCAGATGCTTCGGCGCAAGAAACAGGACACGGTGTCATGTCTTGCTGGGCCGCTCGGGTCAGGGCAAGAGCTTTGCAAACCCTCCAAGAGGATCATGTTGTTAGCAAGTCAAGTGATTTATAGGTGGTGTCAGTTTCGGTGGTGATGTAACATCCTCCGCCTTTTTAAATGGTGCTTTATTATTATTTTTGGCTAATGAGATGTGCACGCTCTCACGAATCCTGAAGGATCGGTCCCTTTCGCCTGTGACCTGAAAACAGCGAAAATTCCCACTAGCAAAACTAGTCATCGACCACGTAGGTGAAACACGAGAAAGCGTGAGGTGCCTTGTCTTTCTGACAAGTCGAGGCGGCCAGTGGTCAGAGGAGCGAGACCAGGACTTCTGAGTCCGGAGGAACACGGGGGCCGTTTCGCAAATCCTCAAGCATCACGTCTTTTCTGTGAAAGCTGTGCTGCCGTGAGATCCCAGCAGGGCCTTGTTCCTGTGTGTGGTCGGTGTCACTTGTCCCTGGACTTCACTCTCTCTCTGTCCTGTCCTCCTCTCCCCCTCTCTCTCCCTCGTTGTCCTGTTGCTGAACTGTGACGTTACGGCCGCCCTCGCGGCCAAGCGGGCCATCCTGTAACAGATGGGAAGTAACATCTTCACACTCTGTGTTACTGTTGGCCATCGTCTTAATTGCCGCGCATTCTTCATCTCCTTCCGAGTTCCTTTTCCCTTTGCACTGAGCAGATTGGGCCTCGGGAGGTTCCTTCCCCTCGTGAGCAGAGTGGAGAGAAGCGGGGGGACCGTCCCCCGTCGTGGGGAGTCACGTTGGGGATCTGTGTCTGTGCTTCACGGGGGATGGGTGGGCGGTCCCGACAGACTGTGGTACCAGCGTTCTGCTCCGTTTTGCAGTCCCGTGGCATTAAAACTGCGTTTCCTGCACCATCTTTTCCCGAAAGGCCCCAGTAACAACGCCACTGGCCAGTCCCGGGCCATGATCG